CCGCCTTAATCATGATTCTCAGGCTAGCAATTCACCAAAAACCTCAGTGACCTCCCGTTACCATATTCGGTGCTGAGACACTCCCTGGGCAGACCAATCAGTAACGCGGGTAGGGCACAGGGGAGCAACAATCTCAGTGACAGCAGGCCAAACGGCCGAGTAATTATCACGCTAACATCCGATACGGACGACGAAATTGCTGCAATTAACGACTTGGACGCGGACTGATGAGCCATCATCGCATCGATTATGATCCCCAGAGCCGTTATTTATTGTACTCATGTGGTCCCGCGGCAGCTAAAGACTATAACTACTGCAGTCTTTGTGTCCCAACAACCTTTATCTGCGACTGCCTCTTATGACGCTTTCGAGTGAGAATCCGGAACGTCAGGCCAATATACTTCCTGTTCCAATGATCGCATCTTCTTCCTCTTCTTCTGATCTCAGCCTAACCCAAAGTCTTACCCAAAACTGACACTAGAAGGCAGCGCCGCTCTATATTTCGGCCAGCTATTGACACTATTTATGCAATAATGGCCGTAAGAAAATTTTATGGTGAAAGATCTGTGATTTTATATACTACTCCATCCCAAGTAACTGACACTGCATTTCTGCGCGACTGACACCTCCGTGGGACAAAGTTAAACGCATGTACCTTCTCTTCACATTCACCCATCATTTGATTCAACCCGTTCAACGGCAGGCAATAGTGAGTGATGCGCTACAAGAACGGATGTCGCATTCAGTACGTTAAGTGATAAGTTATTGGACGCGTTCAGCAGCTGAGATTTCTGTTGACCTCAGTGTCTGCCCGACTTAATAGCACCAGTTACTTTCGAACAGCCTGAAGTATACGGTATAGGCCAGTACGCGGACAGCGGCAAACAGCTTAGGAGCAACATTCGAGGAATTATTGAAACGCTGGCGTCAGGCGTGTTAGGAGTCGTTAGAGAGAAGACCATAAAAGTGGCCAATGGTTTCCGAGCCGAAAACAGGGGTCGTTCGTGTAATATGAGGTCTCTCATAAAGTTAAGACTCCGAGCATTCTCAAATTCATTTAAAAAAAAGTAAAGTTGATGTACTGATAAACATATGATTGGTTTAATTTTAAGTGACATTTATATCGGTCGTAAACTCTGCATAGACGTAAATGCCAAGACGGAAGGAGAGTTCCAGGCATGAAATCATCATTTCAATGTTTCACAATCGCACAGTAATTCATTGCCACGCGTAGGTCTAATGATAAAGTTTAGTCAAAATTCAATCACTCCTGCAGCGAAATATGTAACTTCAGCATCATTACTTATCTGCTCGCTTGGGATGCTGTTCCACCTCCCTGTGGTACAGTTTAATTAGGCTTTAGTGCATCCTTATGCGAGTGCGTTTGTGCACAATAAAATGATTGTTGTGGTTGTTAATAATATGAAAGTTAATGGCCATCTTCTTGTGAATGGTTGCGTTAAGTTCCCATCGTCGGCAAAAAAATCCGTAGATATCAACTCAAAAAATATGATGTGCAACTCTGGGGAAAATCCAGTAAGTTGTTTTTGATCTGCCTGTCTGGGAACCACATGCATTTCGCTACTATCTGCGTAATCTAGTCGTCGTCTAATAAGGTTATTTCTGAAGACTGGACCACAGTTTATAAGATGCCTGTGTGCGTATTTGCCTCGGCCGATTAAAATAAGACATGAACATCGAAAATAGGGCATTAAAATCACATTTATGGCCTGACGGATTTCATAAAAAACGTTGCTTTAGCAGGCCTCGGTTCAGAACTATACTTAAAGAACAGTTCAAATAATAAAAATATTCCTGTTTATTTTTTTAAAGGTGGTAGATAGTTATAGGGCTATCTGTCACACATATTTCAGAACGAGGATACATGCGAAAATTCCTACTGCCTGCTGTGCATGACAGCTTGTTACTTTGTCAGTAGACAGGAATTTTCTTTTATAAAAACTCATGCAGGAATGCGAATGTAAAGAACTAATCTGCTTTGTCATTTTTATTTATTTATACAGAGATTTATGTCTCAAATGAGGTTCTGATCCATGAAAATCGTAAGCACCCAAAGAGATACGACAGTTGCAGTGTAAATTTCACGGTATCATAGTTTACTCGAAGCTTCATGCGAATCGTCGATAACAGATGCCTCGCAAACCTTCCATCTAGAAAGATCTGTTTTTTATGCCTGTCGATAGATATTGCCGACGGAAATGAACAAGTGGAATTTTCGTTTCTAAATTATCAAGTCCCATGGAAAGGTCGCTAGATGCAAGATCGGAAAATGCGCTCTTGTCCATTTAGTAGGGTCCAAAAGCTCATCTACTTCTTTTCGGCGCCTGCAAAATCCGCAATCTATAAACAGTGGCTACTTAGCTAATGTGCGTTTTTTCCATTACTTTCAATGACCTCATAAATTAAAAAACTTTATAGAAAACGAAAACAAAATGCGGCTTTTGTACTTGTTTGCTATCAAATTGCATCTTATTCAATTTCTGTACTAAAAGAAATGGTAACTTTTGTTTTAAAAAAGTCTCTTATTATGGGGATTTTCAAGACCGTACAGCGCACGTTTCAGTAGCCTGGTACCTGTACACTTATTAATGCCCACACGATGCACAAAATATAGTCTATATCCATTGCAAAATTTGACAAAACCTATGTTCTATCGTCTCAATAACATAGGGAATGCTTGATTGTCCTTGCACAAAAAAGTGTGCAGTTTGTAGACGGAAGACCCTTAACAAAAACGCAACGGTAGTTCACGCTCACTCATCTAAATCCTAAGTATATACTTTCCGTGAGTATAAAATTTGAGGACACGATTTGATATCGAATGCGTACGGGATAAATATCTTTGTTTACAGTTCCCGAAAAATATATTAGGATAGATGACAAGAAAATCGATATAAAAATACGTACTGCTGAATATTATAAAAGTAGACACTTTTGCAGAGTCCAGATCCTGTCGGTGGACAGAATAAGTGCATGCAAAGGATAATGTAATGACAAACCTAAATATATATTGGGATCCCTCTGCATGATAATCGATATTACAATCCAAATTAAGTAATCCCCCCTAATCGAAAACGTACTTAACAATTTTGGTGGACATTCCATGAGATCGGTCACCGTCCGCAAGTCCCACGAATGTGGCCAACTTTTCTCGCGCCCCAGAGTACATACGTCAGTTGATTGTCGGCCTCTTCTCCGCCATCAAGCAGAATGGGGTCAAATCACGCAAAGCTCATCCCTCCTCTCCCCTTTCGTCACATTCCCCCACCTCTTCCCTCTTCTTCTTCTTCTTCTTCTTCTTCTTCTTCATCCTCTTCTTCCTGGTCTCCGCCCTAGTCTATTGTTGACCCACTTTCCAATACACAAAATACTGCTTTTATCAAAGCTATGGTAAGGGGCACTCACCGATCATTGTTACAATCGTTCGAAACTATTATTATGCTCGCTGCTCAGTCAGGAAATAATGGGACGACCAATTGTTCATCGAAGTGGCTGAGGCGCTAGCGGTCGTCCTCATGAGCGGTGTGCACAGGGACTGAAACTGACCAAATGAAGGGGGTAGGCATGTACTTTCAAGACCTAAAGCATGCAAAAATTAACGTTTCTAAATTTACTTGTGACATATTTTGGTTTAGGGCTTTATTACGTGGTTTTCATTGCAGACCCAGAAATAGAAACGCCAACGCCTGAAGTCTTTGAGTGCATTTCATCATTTCAACTACTTTAGAGACGAAAGTTAGACGTAAACCTTTGAACCCCTCGTCTGTCAGATTACAAATAAAGTTCAACATACATGAGAAGGGAAAAAGAACGGGAACAGGATGACGTACGCCGAAGCCCGTTCGAATTCATTCACATCCATCGTAGCTACACACGCTACCAGTGGGTTTTACTAATATGGCAACTGCGTCAGAACTAAACACGCAAGGGATATGAAACGTGAACACATCCGCCTGCATCCCAGAAGGCAAAATACGGGTGACTGAGGGGCATCACTCCACATGACCGGTCTACCTTTTAACATTGCTCAATTACACCTGTTCCCTGATAATATTCTACACTGTCAGCATGCCGGACCCTAAGGCATTGGGAATGGGAAGGAGACTCGGATCCAAGTACTTCATCAGTAATATTTGTTTTGCATGAAATCGAACTCTTTGAATTCCGTACGTTGAAGAAGGGCGTGACAACCTACCATCTACTGCGTATATTGGAACGCAATCCGTGTTTTTACTTACACCAAATGTTTACAAACCACATGCCATTTATCTTGCGTAAAGCAAAATCTTATACCTTCTCATGTCGTCATGCAGAGATCTAACGGTGTAGATAGCAGATAAATGACCGTCTGAGGTTCAAGGACTACAAGACTTCGTAGAGCAAGAATATAATCTCCATAGTTTGAGGTGTGGAAACAATGCAAATTCTTGCAGAATGATCATGATGCATGAAATTTCTACGTTCCTTTCCCAGGTCGCATTATTTTATCTGGACAAACATTATCAATCAGTGAAGACACCACCAAACGAATTAGCGAGTTCAGATGGCTGTTACTAATCGACACAGCAACCCCGCATAACTAAGCATTTTTATTTAGAAGCCCATTTTTGATGTCAAGCCCATATTTCACAAGTTTCGACTCTAGCTACAATTCTTACGGCTTTATACTTAACCCAGCGGTTTTTTGTGATGACTTCTTGCTGCATTGGGTTTCCATCTAAGTCGCGGACAAAAAGTGTATTATTAGGTGTCTGTCAATTCACGTTTATTGGCTCGTGCTGAATTTCAATGTGACATTTGAAAGAAAAGACCAGTTACTATTTCGGTTGATGTACATTGCCACGTCGCTGGAAAGAAGATTCGACCAGCCGAAAGTGTGTACAAAGAGCAGGGACGGTAGCAGAGCAACAAAGCACAGAGGATGTCCGACTTTGGTGTGATTTTCGGCTGGGAGCACATTAATACACAGGATGAAGGTGTTAGAGAGAACGTCGATCTGGGACGGCTTCGTTCTCCTTATCCTCGCTGACGTCATGCGAGAGTCCTGGCAAACCTGACAATTGTTGATTACGCAGGTGGGCGTACTTGTCTTTCCTATATTTACGCTGACCAAATGCCGGCTGATTCGCCGACTCCAAGTATTTACGAAGCTTCTCGTGCACGTCCAGATTACTAGGAAGACCGATGTAGCGAACGCGTTTACCGGATATCTGCATAGTCTACAAAACAGATTCAGAGAACCTTGAGGACAGGTAAATTCAGGTCAACAAAAGGTGATTGTTTGCATGAGCTGATTAAAACCCGAAAAATGAAGATTTGTCCAGTGCGCCAAGAATGCTGCATACAGTGGATTCGGGTTAGAGCGATTTGGATCAACCAAGCAGGTGGCTCAGTTATTCGGTATAGCAAAGTAGGGCCACTGGATAAAAGTTACCTTAACGGTTAGGTTTTTTTCATTCGGTACCGTCTCCGAAACGGCCCCGATTGTCCTTTGAATGCCCACTCCTCACGCATTTGCCTTATTTTTGTGTTATGTGTCAAATGACACAGAACACAGAACCAAAGCAGGTCTGTTCCGACAGCTGACGATGACATGAATTAAGATGCTGGTTCCTTAAACGGTCTTACCTAGAGAAAATCCATCCTCTGCACTCGGTCACATGCAAGCGATTTGAATTTACAACCAGGCCAATGCCAGTCTATGCTCTCCAGCGCAAAACGCAATTATCGATCGGCGCCACAGCTGTCGCCCTGTCTCTCTCCCCTTCTCAAGGGTCCGCCGCCGTCCTCATTAGCCATTGCGACCCTGCGGGTAGAACGTCACTACAGCCGTTGGCGTTCACTGGAGTGCTCGCTTAGCCCACTGCCGTGAAACACCGGTTACAAACCTATGCAGGATTTTTTAGCAAACTCTCCACCAGGAAAATGTCTCCTGTTCTGTCCAGAATACAGTGCGTGACCGATCTCATGAAATGCTGGGCAAAATTCTGGAATGCGTTTTCGATCAGGAAGGATTACTTAGGTGGAGTTGTGATACTGATTAGCATACAGCATGATCCTATAGCGTTTCCGACTAGCCAGTTGTCAGCTTTTGAATGCACTTCTTCTTGACCTCTTGCAGAAACCACAGTCGGTAAAAATGAGTACTTAAGTAGCATGCATTTTTCCTACTGATTTTCGATAGTCATAAGTTCAAATATATTTTATAGAAAGCATGCGCAAAGAAATGCCTTCTTTTGTTCGCTTGGTGGAAAATCACATTGTCTTCATATTTTATACTCGAAGAAGATGTATATTAAGGTTTTACAGAGTTTCCCAATTCCCGAATAATATTCAGCCTGATCTACCATTGCATTAGCGTTTAGCGATTTCAGTCTACAAGGTACATGCTTTCCGGGTAAAGTAAATCATATATTTATCCATGCCTTTAAGAAGATAGCACCTAGAGTTCATAAAATTTCGCAATGGATCCTGACTGTATTGTACATTTAATGAGGAGCATTGGTAAACGCACTTGTGTGGTCCTGCATGCATGGATACCGCACGGTCTTAAAAATCTCATAATTAGAAAATTTTTGTCCATGATTTTAACGAAACATATTTGAATTTATAAGACCACCGAAAATCAATTTGAAACTGTATACCACTTAAGTAGTAACTTTTTAGCCAGTGTGGTTTCTGTCGGAGGTCAAAAAGAAGTGCCTTCGAAAGCCGACATCCTGGCGAGTCCGAAATGCTATAGGACTATGCTGCATGATAATCAGTATCACAACCCCACCAAAGTAATATTTCCTAATCGGAAACGCATTTCAGAATTTCGGCTAGCATTTCATGAGATCGGTCACGCACTGCACACGTTATCTTGTCAACATTGTAGCCCTGAATTCTGCCGTGGGACAGCCAACGTCTTAAATAAAAAGATAGAACCAATGGGCGGAGTAAGTTCATGAAAGTACACATGATTTTCTTCTGTTCCTCAACACTCTCCCGAAATAAATGGCTCGTTTAACAGGACTCCAATGCAAATGGAAGGCGTCGGTTGGTGCGACAATTAGATATATCACTCAACAGATGACTACTTGACTTCCCTAGTAGCTGTGGTTTTCTAAATTAAAGGCGTGAAAATGTGTTAGATGCAATGACAGTAAAAGAACAGCAATTTCAGCAGGACTAGAGTCCTACATCAACATGCAGAGGAGCGACGCCATTCATGGGGGAAACAACTGTCACACCGGAGTCCAATTCCAAATTCAGAAAACCGTCCATGCTCGCGAGGCGTCCAGTAACAAGGGTGTCATCGAGAAGAGTGACTGACACCTTTTTACCTGTGAGGGCGGCCGGGAAGATGGCTAAGAGGGACGAGGTTAGCCTCTTTTTCGCACCCCAGAACAACTTTGCCTCGTGTTCAGTCTAAAAAGAGATAAAGAGCAGCATCAGTCGAGTTTCCAGATCCTTGACCAGTAAACAACTTGATTTGATGGATTTCGAAATTGGACCGACATTTCACCCTCTCCACTAGACCATGGATCCTTCTGTGCATTCAAGCAGACGGTCAGATTGGCTGAAAAACGCATGCCAGGAGAGTTTGGAAACGTTTTAAAAGGTTAAACAACAAGTTAAATTGGTGAGATATGAGATTAAACTCGTCCAGGACTTAGGTGACAGTTCAGTTGTCATCAACGACGACGTCCACTGTGTGCCCCAGAGCAAGGTGAGCGCACGACGTGGACTTGCAAATGAATTAGTTTATAGTGATAGAGGAATTTCACTGCATCCAGCGTACTCTCTCTTCGCCCAACAACCTGAGCCCGGTGAAAAGACTGAGTCAAGAAGACTAGAGGTGAGATCGGACATAGTAGCTGGAAGTCCGTCTGTGCGTGCCACATGCCGCCTGGTTCGCGCGCAATGCACATCTGAATGAGACCGCGCTAGCAGTGCGGAGAAATGACGCCAACTCTCAGGTCGCGGACAATTCAACGAGACCCGACCAGTACATTCACGTTCGACGGGGCCGAAATTCTCGCGAGGGGTGATAGTCGCGAGCTACAAGTTGCTTGAGGCATGGTTCACGGGACCCCAGTCTATCAACAAGTGAAATGACATTCCCACCTCATATTCGGTGCTGAGACATAGTCTGGCCAAAGTAATTAGCCACTCGGCGAGCGCGCAGGCCGATGGGCCAGGTGGCCGAGGAATCATCACGCTAACATCCGGAACGCGCGGCAAAATTTCAGCAATTAACAACTCGCATGCCGGCCATCAAGCAATTAGCGCACCAGCGAGCAACAATCTTCGCTGAGGGGGAGAGCGGTCAATTATCACAGGGATGCAGTAGCATAGCGACTGCATCCTATAAGTACTGCAACTTCCTGTGCGCGAATCACCCGTATCTGCCACTGTCTCTGATGATGAGTCTGAGCGTGAATCCGAAACCCTGGGCTCTTGTTCCAGCGGTCGCCTCCACGTCTTACCAACTAGTTGCGGGAACTCGTATCTTCGTTTGTATCGGTAATAGGGGCCATATTACGTGTGTCATTGGAGCCTAACTCCCCGTCCTACGAGGAAGACCGACCTATCTCGTCGGTTGGCAACCTTCAAAGCCGCGGCTTTTGGCGCACCGTGGCAGTTTAACAGCGCAACAGATTATTCATTGGGATGAATATGCGCGGAGGACGCAGTCCCCAGAGCCAACCTCATTCTCCCTTGCATCTTCCAGGCATTTGTCCCCTGTCCGAGCCAGTCAATTATCTGATGCAGGGACTGGGCGCAGTGGTTGACAGGGATAAAGGACCCGTCTGTGTGTGCCACGCACAACCTGTCCCTCGCACAACACACTGGACTTTAGGCAGATCCTTGATGGCTGTAGAAGTGGCCCCACGAGTTGAACTTGCCCAGAGAGATGTCGAGGAGCAACTACTCTTGTCAGCATAATAGCCCAGAATTCGTCATGAAAAGATGGCTTTGAAGGGCGGCCCCGGAGAGCGAAATGAATCCGTAGGCGCCTGTTTTACGGTCTCGAAAGAACGCCCCTCATCAGTTAAAATGGGGCACGCCCAAGTGGCAATAGACAGACGTACAACCTTAAGGAGCCAAGTACAAAATACTAAGCACGACTCGCAACTGTCATAGTTTCGCTATGCTTAAGGCGGAACATCATGGAAGAAAAAAACTTTTACTTTTTTGTCCATGCGGCCTCGTTGTGGACATACTCGGCCATTCGGGTGAATGCAATAATTCTTTGATGCAGATAAATGTGACACCCAGGTGACGCAAATGAGGGCTTTTATGTGCGTATTTGGTACTGGTTAAGACTTTCGAGGTGCACAGGTCCGTACGAACAGTGTAAACGGTTAGACGGAGCAGAGGCGAAGTGCGTACACAACTGTCAACCTGGTCCTTTGATTGAAAATCCAAACACAACACCGGCTCACCCAACCCCAGTGAAGACTTGCGACCGGATACAGTCGCCAAGACTCGGTTTATCTACCGACAGATTCAGCCGTTT